GCAATTTGAAACATTGCCTTATCACAGTCAGAGGCGGCCATAGCTTTTGCAGCCTTTACCTCTTTGTTCTTCCGGTCAAGCGGCTTGCGAAGGCCGTTCACTCGGAGCAGGGCCTAAGTAAAAAGGGGAACAGGCGTCAGTTTCCAAACAAAAAAGAAAACAGGCGTCCTGGAATTCAAATACTCAAAAATATGCTAAGTATACCTCAGCAAGGACCCCTGCAATCCCGTCTAGGTCAAGGGTGCCGACACCCCTGACCGCCTCCCTTTCAGCTGGAGGAACGACTTTGATCATAGACTTGGCCACTTCGACCAAGTCAGGCTCCTGAGGGCCGGCTGCATCAAGCATAAACAAACGGATTAGACCTAGTAAAGGAGGGAGCAATTTTAAAATTTACAAGGACAATTTCATACTTCTAGGTGGCCCAGCTGGAGTTTTAGAAGAAGTGGCCGGCTGTTTCTCAGCCGCCACATGTTTCGTGGCAGAACCAGGAGAGCTCGCAACAGTCGTCCTCCGGGCCTTGGGGTCCGGCTGTTGGGAAGAAGAAGCTCTTGGAGCGCCCGTCTAAAAAAGAAGAAAAGAGTCAGTATATGCATAAACACAACTCCAAAAAGAGGGTGAAAGGTTCGAAGCCCACCAAGGGTGCCCCCTTGTTGGGGGAGTCGGTTGAAGACTGTTGCATGATGGAGGCCCGCAACATGGTCGCCGCAGTCTTGGAGGCGGTAATTTTGCTCATGGCGTCCGCTGCAAAAACAAATAGCAAAGTTAATAAAAGTCATAACAAGAAATGCATGGAACAACAGAGTATTCGACAGGCCGGCTACCTCTTGAGCACCGACTGCTGAGGCCACAGGCGGCCAAAAAGTACTCGTCGTAGAGCCATTTGAAGCTCGGGACGCAGTGCAGGGGTACTTGCTCTCGTACCCCTGAAGTAGAGTTCACCTTCGACTCTACTTTGAAGAGTCCTTTATCTAGGATATCTTTCTTAGCCTTGGGGGGAACAGGCGGCATACTGCGGCCGCCTGCAAGAAGGGGCGGATTCCTGTTCCACCTGTTGAAGCGCTTGTTCAGCTCTGTGTCTGAACTCTCAATGATAAGGAAGGTGCTCCGCCAGTCCTTCCATTTGTTTGCTTTACCTCTCGTCATGAGGTAGCCCCTGTGGCTCGTCAATTGATACCAGCCGGTACCGCCTGCCTTAGGGGTCCGGCTGAGGTAGTTCATGTGGGCGAAAGCCTCGAAGTTCGGCTCCACCCCGTGCAGTTCGCACCCGGCCACATAGCCGAGCACGTTGACCCAGGAGTTCGGGGCTAACTGCCATAACCCCAACTCATACCCATCCAAGATCCGTTGAACAGCCGGATGTAGTGGGAAGCGCAGCCCAGCTTTGATGGCCGCCTCGTAGCAGCCAAAGCAGGCGCCATCATAACTGGTACCAGCCGGCCAGACGACTGTGTCTTCTGGATCGGCACGAACACTAAAAAGTCGGGGCCCATTGTGTGGTTTGCGATAAAGCTCTCCACTTTCTCTTGCATGGCCGTGATCCGGCCCCGAGGTACCGTGCAGTAGTAGGGGGTATTTTGCTCTCAGTGAGAGGCGGATGGCTCCGCCCAATCGTCCCCCTTCTCAACTGCGTTAGAAAGCCTCGCCTCTTGTAGGCGACTGTTTTTCTCTTCTGTGTCCAGAGAAGCATGGCCAGAAGTGCTAGACTCGGATTCATCCTCTGACGAGTCCGAAGAGGACGACTCCTCCCCTCTCCCGGAGGGGCCCGCCTCCTCCCCTTTAAAAGGAGCAGGAGAGAATGTAGAATTGTCAACTGTAAAATGGGAAGGGGTCACTTTGACTCCTCCCTCAGAACTGCCGGCTTTCAAGCCGCTTTGTTTCACTTCCACATCTGGCGCCTGGTCAGATGTTTTACTAATCGGCACCCTGTGGGAGGAGCCGTCTGAGTTTGAGATCCTGGCAGTCTTTTTTGTTCTGGCCATCATGCTCTGCATAGACACAGATACAGGCGGACTTTGTATAAAGGGCAAAGATGGGTCCAGAAAAGGGCAGGCGGCACTCCTAGTCCTAGATTCAGCCGTCCCCGGTGACCGGCTGATCACTAACCTAGGTCGTGTCGTGTGCTTCCGTGGTGCCATTTCAAAAAAGAATAAAGTAAAGAGAAAATTAAGAGTAAGAGAACCGACGGTTACCTGAACGAGTGACGATTGATGAAGTTCTGAAAATCCTTTGCAGTCGACTTGTCAGAGCAGGCGGTAGGCAGAAAGGGTCCAAAATGTCAGAGCAAGTTCAGGGGTCCGAATGTTCTCTCACAAAGTTTTCAAGTGTGAAAATGACCGAAGTCAACACTCCTTTATATAGGCGAAGTGAGAAGGCGAAGGGTCACTTCCAGAATTCAAAATTTTGGCGGGAGAATCTCTCGGCCTCTCGCCGAGTGACACCTGTAGCAGGTCGTCGCCTGTTACAGGGCGATACATGTCACAGGTAACACGTGACCAGTCACGTGCCACCTGTGAGGGGCAAATGATTAGGGGATTTTGCTCCCATCAATCGGAATGCGCCACGTGGGCCAATCAGGTCCTGCCAAGTGTCCCCCAGTTGGACATGTGAGGGCTTGCCACGTGGCACACGCTTATTCGTCCACCCTGGACTTATAATGTCATGACACGTGGCATACTCCATGCCTAATGGAGAAGCCGGTCACCTAGGCCCAACTTCCGAGGGAAGCCCAATCAGCCCAAGGTTAACCTAAACCTAGATTGGCACGTTTCCCGAGGTTATAAATACCTCCCTTAATCCTCATTAAGGGAGATGACGCGAACAACGCAGATTACACACATTAAACACTCTCACCTAGAGAGACCCAATCACTTTAATTTCCGCATTAATTACTCCTTAATCAAGTACTAACTTGACCGTCGGAGGCGGATCTCCAATCATCCGGAGCATCCGTTTGTTTTGCAGGTACAGGCGTCCGGTTCCAGTCTCGGAATTGTAACTCTCCCGCAAGACATCAGAAAACCCCGAAACACTAGCCACTACCAAAACTGGCCACTAACGGTTGAAATCGACCGATTTAGGGACTGAGAGGTCAAATTCGACACTAAATTGGCCGATCTCAACCGCGAGTAGAAGAAATATGGTGGTGGATGCGGTTTTGAGTGGAGAAAGGAGGGGAGTAATTTCGGTGGTTGGAGTGTGTCGAAGGAGGTTTTCGGGGGCTGGGGGTGTGTTAGAAGAGGGTTTCGATGGCTGGAGAGGTGTCGAAAGGGGTTCGAAGTGGCGGGAACTCAAAGTCTGTAGTGGCGATGGTGGTTGCGGGGGTTACTCGGCGCGAATTTGATGTTGTTGGAGCTGTAGGGCGGAGCTGGGGTGGTTTTCGGGGAGGGAGAAGGGAGGGTTTCGCCGGTTTTGGTGGGCAGGGGTACCGACGATCTGGGTAGGGTTGTCGGAGGTGGGGCACAGGTGGTGGCGGTGGTGGAATTGGGCTGTGTTTGGTTGTTTAAGGTTTTTTCTTTTTTCTTTTTAAATTTATCTTTTTTATTTTTTTTTATTTTTTTTCTTAAACCAATAGGTTAGTGACACATGTCTGTTTTGGGCCCCATTAACGGATTCTTGGATGGAATCCGTTAAGTGGTGGTGAAATCAAAATTTTGTATTTTTTGTGGTTTTATAATAAAAGTTTTCTTTTGGGGGGTGTTATTATCAAAATCTTGACAATTTTGTGGTGTTATTTTCTAATTTTTCCTGAATTTATGATGCAAAAATTGCAATTTTACAAGCTATGTATTAAAAGGTTGTTTAAAAGCCATGTATTCTATTTTGTCCATTGTTTAAAAGTTACAATATGTATTAAAAGACGTTCAAATAAAGTATATGGGCCACTAGGCGAATCTTCCATATGTTTTTCATTGCAAGTCAAATGTTATTGATGAATAAAAAAAATAGTTACCCACGATATTCGAACATGCAACATTTAATAATAAAACTATGATAATATTTTATGTATGTGAGAGATTAAAAGTTTATTGAATAAACAAACTTTTTATGCTTAAAAATCTGTTTGATATATCTTTACCCAACATCAAATGTGGCTTGTTTATGCAAATTTATCATCTATATTTCGTGGAGGTGTTCCAAACAGAGGGTTGAGAGGGGTTTAGAAGTGTCTCGCAGGGGCTTAGTCATTTCATGCAAAATTTAAATTTTGTCATTGTAGATTCAGGGTACAAAATACACTCTCAATGGTACAAGATATAATTTCAGTGGTATTTCAAAAAACTTTCAAATGTCTCATTAGACTGTCAAATAATACCGTAGAGCTCAGTTGTACAAAATACACTCATAGTGGCACTCAATACAGTTTATATGGTACTTACAAAAATCTCCAGTGTTACAAAATATACTCTTAGTAGTTGTGATCCCAATTTTTTTTGTCTTTTTTGCATGTAAAACTATTTCTGATAAAAAGGTGGGTCCCACCTCACCCTTTTTTCACTCTCTATTTTTCTTCCTTTCTCCCTCTTCCTAATACATTTCTTATACTTTGTATTATGTTAACCCTCTAAATATACTTCCTCATATGACGTAACACTTGACAAAAAATTAAAACGTCAAGTGTCGGTGTCTCGTAGCCTGACGACAAAACTAAACTTTATTTCCTTATATGATATTAGATTAGTGGGCAAAGCTTACGTACAACTCATTATTTCATTAACCTCTTACGGAGTACTAGGTGGTAATTTTCTGTCAAAAACAGATTGTCCACCTACTTAACGAATTTACGCCTCGAAATTAACATGTTAAGTTCAATTGTTCAAATCATATACTCTTTCTAGTTGACATGTATTCCTTTTTAGAAAGTTTTTTTTTAGTTGATACATTTCCTTTTAGGGTAAATTTTTTACCTTGCATTTACAAGGTACCCCACTTATTTTTTCACTATCTCACTCTCTCTCCTCTCCTTAATATATATATGTACCTAAATCAAACGTGTCTACTAAATAAAAACGGAGGAAGTATGCATTAATATGGAATCATGGTTTTAATGGGCTTAATTCACATTTTAATCAACTCTATATGAACAATTGTTACAAAAATTTCTCCTGTTTAAAACAGACCTAAAAAAACGAGATCAGCTGATCCAATAATTAATCTACAAGTATGCTACAAAATGTTAAGATTCAAGTGTAACTTGGACTATATAACTGAGGAAGTCACTAATCTTTCTTTCTACGCTTCATTCTTTCAAGAGCACCTAGAGGAGCATCAGCCCCTTTCACCTCCTCCCCATCTTCAGCTTTCTCAGGGTCATCCCGCTTCTTAGCCAAGCCACCAAAAACAGCACTTGGCACATCCTTTTGAGCAATCTCGACCTTTTCCACATCTTCCTCATCATCATCACTCTCCTCCGGTAGTTCAATCTCCTCCTGGTTTACATTTCTTTTGCCAGTGTCACTTTGAGATTCAACTCCGGCACTGACAAAACCAACAGTCCTTGCTTTATCCTTAGCTAGAACATCATTGTCTACAGGAGCCAACTGCCTTTCAAGAGCAGCCATCTCATCAGCAGGAACCCCAGCTTTTTCAAGTGCATCAAGGCTGACCTCATCTTTTTGCATCAGTAATTCAGGAAGGATGAAATGGGTCTGCAGGGAATACAATGGTTAGAAATCCATCTCAGGCTCTCAGCAATGAAACTTACAGCAGATAATATAGCTCCAAATGAAAGAAAGGATGAAACTAACAGCAGATATAAAATAAAATTTGGTGTTTATTTTCATAAGAAACTACCAGCACTTCCTATTTTTAGTTTTCAAAAAAAAAAAAAAAAAAACATCCAAGCCAAGATGAATGTTTTCACTTGATACGTAGCAGTCAAGAATTTTACTAATGCATAAATGTAAGGGGATTATTAATGTGGGAGAAAAGGAAGAAAAGACACAGAGGCAGAGGACTCATGTTTTGCTTTTATTAATTAAACCCTTGCAAAAAATTCATTGTTAGGATAAGGAAAGGACTCATGCTTTGCTTTTTTGGTGTTTGATCCATTGAGAATAAAACCAAACCCCACCCACAGTCCAAACCAACCTATCAGTAGCTTCTTTCCATCAATCGCCATTTTTCCCCAAGAGCTGCTCCCCAAACTTCCCACCCCCGAATACACCAAGGTGGTGTAGTATCAATTTATTGTCCTAGAACATTATGTGATAACCATAAATATTGAAACTTAAAGCCCGCCAAGGAATGAATGGAAGATTAGAGAGTGATGAATCAGTACACCGAGAGGCAATATCTAGAAGGATGTGGTAAAAGATTGAAATAAAGGTGAACCAAGCATGCAGTAATCAGCCAATGCAGACCGATATACTCAAAGGCTATACTAAATCAAATGAAGTGGGTAGCAAGTAAAATTATTGCACATTTGCACACGTGAACTACTTTACATGGGCTAAAGAAAATAATTGGTTTGGTCAATTGGCAAAGTAAAATGATTAAAGCACAGTAATGATGTGGAAACAAAAAGACACAGACAAAAACAAATTTACCATACTATACATTAACAGAGAAACAAATGCTTATAATTTGGGAACTGACACAAATAGACTGAGCTATATAGGCCGTTACACAATAATAGATAGAACTAAAAAGTATAAACGGAGTACAAATAATCTTGAGCTAAATTAGAGGAAAACAATAACGAAGCATAACATTAGCAATATCAGACTTGAAATTTCAGAAATTTGAAAGGAAAAATTGCCAAATTTGATTCATTCGCCCAAAATAATCCCAACTTTTGATTATTTTTTAATAATCCGAATGAATTGGCTTCTAATGGTCCAAAGTGACTAGCAACTTGTTGAGTAGGTAAATTCTATTTAAAAGTTAAAATTTACATGTGTCATCACATTATTGGTCAAAATTCAGTTTTAGTTTTATTTTTTTAAGAAATATTTATTAGTGTTACTAATTAACTAAGAGCAACTCCAATGACAAGCTAATTGTCAAATTAGCTAGCCATGCCACATAAACTTTTAAGCTAATTGTCATTTTAGCTACTTTGAGCTCCAATGGCTAGCAATTAGCTTACTATTTAAAACTAACCCCACCTCCTCAATTTACATTTTTATATTACAAAATATTTATTCTAATTTGTTGTATTTTGGCAAGTTCTTTTCCAAGCAAATTAGCTTGGCCAAACTAATTGCATTTTTTTGCTCCAATGGCCAAGCTAGAAGCTAGGGATTATTTAATATTGCAAGCAACTCCCTAGCTACAACCATTGGAGTTGCTCTAATAACTTAAAACTAACTAATTTCATAAAAAAAAAAATAATAACAAAATCAAATCAAATCAACCCCCGCCACCAACAGCAACCCAGCCACCTCCACCACCTTAACTCCCCTACCACAATCATCCGAAACACCAACCTCACCACAATCACCTGAACCGAAACATTATCCCCATTCCCGCCCTCTCAACCACCACAACCTCACTATAATCACCAACCTGAACCGAAACCCTACCATAACCACCAGAAAACGGCAGAACTTCATACTTCTCTCTCCTCTCTCATGCGCCACAAGCCCACAACATGAACCGAAACCTCCCTCACTTGCCACCAGCTAAACCAAATTCACCCTCACTTGAAGCCCTAACCCCCCACCTAAACCAAAACCACCTTTACTTAGATCTAGGTAAGTGGGGTGGTTTCGAGTTTGATTGGGTGGAATCGAGACGAGGAGGTGGCGGGAGAGTGTTTGGGATGGTGGGGTGGTTTTTCTAATTAATAGTTTTATTTTATTTTTATTTTTTTAACCAATCACATGCCAACACGTGCTGACTGGTTAGAACCATTTGAAGCAGATACACATCAAAGTTTGGATTTTTATAATTAAAAAATAAAAAAAATAAAAATAAAAAATAAAAAAAGTTGGGATTATTTTGAGTTAATGAGGCAAAGTTCGGATTATTTTAAGCAATTTTCCAATTTAAAACACCAACATGAATAAAAATTAATTTCCTAGCAAAACCATAGGGAAAATATTACTCCCTCCGTCCCATAATACTTGGGACATTGGGGAAGACACGTAGTTTAAGAATATTACAAGAGGGTCTATTTATATATTACAAGAAAACAATAAATGGGGTGGGAATGGGGTAGGTGATGAGAGAGAAAATGTGGGAAGATATTTTTTATTAGTGGTCCCATTCCATATTTAGTAATGTGTCACAGTGTCAAGAATGGACAAAAATGAGAACTGTGTCAAGTATTATGGGACAGAGGGAGTAAATTAGAAATATTCTTTTTAATTTTCTCCGGTTCTTTATAAGCTTGAATTTTAACACATCACAAAATCTTTTTTTTTTTTTTTGTTTAAGCATCCTCCAAAGTTTAAACACTTCTATACATTTCTCAAGTTCAAGCTATTTTAGTTTGATGGCCCATAATTCATTCTACTCAATACAATTTTTCCTAAAAAAACTCATAAGACATGTAAGTAGCTCTTCCTACATTAACAAAGATTTTTTTTTTCTTTTTTCCTCTGTATTATTTATTATTTATTTTTGTTGTGAAAAAAAAGAATTGCTAGTGTTATACTTTCTTTTGTCTTATTATTCATGGCTATATAGATAACACTATGTTTGGATGACGGAAGGGAAAAGAAAGGGAAGGAAAAAGAGGGAAGAGAAAGGAAGGTGAGGGGGGAGGTGACCTTCCAATTTCCTTTCAAATTTCTCCAACAATGGAGGGATTTGGTAAAAGGGAAGGAAAATGGATTCTCCCAATTCCCTCCCCTTCCCACCTTGCATTAGATATCCAAACAAAGGATGATGTATCCTTTCTTTTCACTTCTCTTCCTTTCCCTCCATTTCTCACTATCCAAACATAGTGTAAATGAATTAAAGGTAAAAATATGGAAAGAAAGCAAAAGGACGAAAAAAAAAAAAAAAAAACTCTTTTGCACAGTATAGGCGGGTCTAGTATGGGTTCAGAACCCATACGGGATCCCAAAAAACATAGATAAGTTTTTGTAAAAGTAAAAAAATTGTTTATAAGTATATATAAAATACAATGCGTCATATTTTGTTACTTATTGTAACAGCCAGCGGTTAAAACACTTCTTTCTAAATCAAAGGTTGCAAGTTTGAACGCGTCCAGCTACTTTTTTTATGTTTACTTTTTTCCCTTTTTCGAAAATTACTTGCCCAAAGACCCACAATACCCAATTACCCCCGACCTTCACACAATTACTAATATTTTTGGAGTTTTCTACATAGTAAGTAGTAACCCTGTGGTATATACTTTTGCTCTCCCCTTTTCAAACGTCCACGCTGAAACCTCAAGGTACATTAAATTAATTACGTTGTAGCCTTTAACCATCCGTTAGCTGTTGCATTTAGTGAGGCCCACTTTACACCTATGAAATTATTTTTTCTCGATTTACGTGCTAAAAAAATGTTCTATTAGAGGTTTGAGGGGTCATTTTAACCATGAAGGATCCAAATTGAATAACATAGAAGCCCTGTTTTGTGAATTCGGATTTCCTTTATTAAAATTAGAATTCACAAAACGGGGCTTCTACATTTTGTTTTTGTCAAATCCGATCTCAATTTGGACCCTAAGGCCTTAAGGGTCAAAATGACCCCTAAAATCTTTCACGTGATATTTTTTTCAACACGCAAATTGAGAAAAAAATATTAAAAAGCACAAAGTGGGTCCCACTACCCGTTAACGATAGGATAATGGCAAAGTCACTATTGAGAAATAATTGCAAGTTAAAGGTATCAGTGTGTAATTTTCAAAAGAAGGGGGCACTGCTTGGAAAAGTCAATACTCGAAGGTTATAGTGTAGAATTTCACAGTATTTTTTGTTTTTATCTAAGCAAAAATTGATTAAATATTATACTATGTACAAAGTATTTAATTTTATTATTTCAGATATTATCATTGTAGGGGTAGAACTAGAATGATAATTTACAATTTTACAAGTTTGTTGTCAATTTAGGAGACTAAGAGTTAAAATTTATATATATTTAAGTAAAATTGGTGTTTATTGAAATTAAGATATTGTTAATGTTGAATATGTTTACATTAGATTTAAGAATTTAATCAGTACATAATTAATGTGACCTATAATGATATGAATCGGAAATTTGTGTAGGTGAAGATAAATTAACATTTAGTGCAATCGAAATTTTTATAAACATGTGCACACCCAATTTATTATCTGTAATTTATTTATTTGATAGATTTATTATGTTATATACTTCCTCCGTTTTCTTTTTATTGCACTAGAAAGACTTTATACTATTATCTTATTTGACCATTTTTTGTGATTTATCTATAAGGATAAACATAATCATGTGGGATCTACTTAGATTTGCTCAAAATCTACTTTTCAAAAATCAACTTTTATAAATTTGTTTACAAAATTATAATTAAAGATATTAATAACCAAAGTAATGCATTGGCAAACGTGAAATCACTCATGGTGCAATAAATAAAAACCGAAGAAAGTATGTGTTTAGTGACTTTGAACCCTTACGGAGAAATTTTCTGGATCTGTTCCTGATGCACAGTCACTTGACCACTTCCCCAATTCAAGCCTTCTTATGTCCAGTAAGAATTTCAAAACACCTATCTCCTTACACGTCCCATAACACCCCCCCCTCCCTCTATCTCTCTCTTTTCTATCCATAAGAGGTGATTGAACGTCCCAAGATCTAAATAATTAATCCTCTATATTTGTTTCAACCCAAAATAAATGTTATAATTCTTGAGTTTATAAAAGAGAGTATGAGGTAAAGAGTTTGTTTGTACTTCTAAATTAGAGTCTCTCACCACTTGCATAATTTTTCAGATTGCAGCATTTGCAAATGAATGCGGGTAATTCTGACAGGTATAGTAGGCTTTTTTTTTTCGTCCATGGTCTACACATCTCTGCATAGGGAAGAGGGATTTTGAAGTACTCCCGTTTCACAATGATATTCTCAGTAAATCTTTTTATTATTAAAAAATCTTCTTATTTTCTCTCATTCAATAATTTTTGATAGTGTGAGATTAAAGATATTTGCAATCAAATATTTGCAGCAATTTACGTAACCAGGAACATCATCATGAAACGGAGGGAGTAGTTCTTTTAATCTAAGGGTCTGTTATGATTTATGAACTGAGCTGAAGTGACTGGAGTTGAATAGAGCTGAAGTGATCTAAACTAAACTGACTGTAATGAATATTTTATGAGAGAAGGAAATAAGGAGGTGATTGGAGCTGAATTAAACTGAAAGAGAACATGGCCTAATACTTTGGATTTCTGAATTTCCGACTTTACATTTCTCAAGCAAAATTATGTGGGTGTATTATGTGAACCAACACACATGCCTTCTAACGGAAAATGGGGAACAAGCTTTGAGTTATCATTAATCAATTTAGTAGGTCTAACAATTTACTACTTGTATTTCTGAATTCTGACTTAACAATTCTCAAGCAAAATTATTTGGGTGTGTTCGTTAAGCTGACACACATGCCCGGGTCCAGATATTTCTAAAATTCAAATGGCTCACAGGCAAGCTTTGCTTATCATTAATCAAGCTATATTTTTCAAGAATGGGCAATGGAAGATCTAAAGGATGCTGCATAGGAATAAGATATGATCACAATGCTTTGTTATCCTTCCAGCAAGATTTAATGCGATCTGAAATATTTACTTATAGGCTATGTTCACCAGACTCGGCTGAAATGCCGGAGTGTCCGTGTCGACAAGACACAACGCGGATTCGGACACGAAATTTGTGTCAGATCGGCATTGTGCACTCGGACACTCCAGAGAGAGGGGAAGGGGAGAAATAGAGCTGAATTTTTAAAAAAATGCCTAACTTTTCAAGCAAAGGAGAAATATAGCTATAGATAAGTAAGAAATCTGAGGGAGCGAGAGGTTGAAGAAGAAAGACAGTACAAAAAAAAAATCAGAAAGTCAAAGAGATAGTGCTTTACAGCTGTATTCCTCCCTTTTATTGGTTTTTATTAATTTTTAAAACCCCCTTTTTACTATTGTGACAGTTGTGTCCATCACTTTTTTACCCCTTTATTTAATTTCTTGTGGTGAGTTACTAAGTTACTTAAGTACTTCATCTTTATCTTTATTTTTTAAAAAAAAAAAAAAACCCCAAATAATAAGTGTTATTATCATAGTTTTAGCATTATATGGTATAAATTTTTTGAATATTAATGAAATATTTAAATATTTTGTAATGTATAATTTTTTGCAAAAAATGAAAATGCCGTTTCCCCGCATCCGTGTCAAAATATAGGACAGAGTCCCCGTGTCCTAAAATTTTGGAAATTGGCGAATCGGACACTGTGTCCGACACACGTACCCGAGTCCACGTAACATAGCTTATAGGACAGGAAAATATATTCCTAATGCACCGTAAAACTAATACAACTACTAAAGCAAAACTTCTCTTTGATCAATGACTAAGTTCCAGGCTTGGAGAGGTCACGTTTAAGAGATCTTTAACCCAAAAACCGGAAAAAAAAACCCTTGAAATTCTTATACAATTAGATAACACTCGATAATATTTAACATTAGCAAGGAAACACACACACACATACACCCTTGAGCTTCTTATGCAATTAGATAAAACCCAATAATACTTAACATTGGTAAGGTCACACACACACACACACACACACACACATACACACAAAAAGGTTAATAGCATCAATGGACACCAGCACTGCGCTACTACAAAATAACAATTATGGAGTTAGATTTAACACCAAATGAAGTGGGCTACAAGATGAACGTACCTGGCTGAAACTAGAAACAGCACTACGTTTTATGCGGAGCATTTCTCTGAAGGTGTCTTCATTTCCATGTTGGACCTCAAATTCATGCCACTGATTCCAGAAATCAGGAACAGTTCTTGGATCTGCAAAATTAGAGGCATATATGTAAACTGCACGAGCACGGTCAACTTCTCCGAGGCTTTTCTCAAGCTCAGCATACTTCATGCACATGGTTATCACATCTTTGTCAGGAAGACCAGATTGAATTGCTTGCTCATATATCTCCCTGGTTTTTGGCACACCAAACATTTCTGCTGCACGAGCTATGTAGATCTCGTACATGCTCAACTTCTCACTAGCTGGAACAGCTTTAGTAGCTTGATCATAAACCTTCATTGCACGCTTTGCTAAGCCATAGTCCTCCTCCAACTTAGCATATTGCAGGTATAAAGGCTTTACACATTCCCCAGGTGCCTAAAAAAATATCAAAAATGTCGACAATCAAGCTTCAGTAAACGAAAATTTATGAGAACAAACATGAAAAATATCCATAATAGGAAAAACTGGACCAAACAACTTCCATCATGGGTATAAGCATTAGGAAACAGAAATGGGAGTAAAGAGTAAGAAAAGTAAAAAAGTTGAGTCCCTTAAATATAATTAAAAGTAATAATTTCCTTTCAAGCTGGATAAAAAAAAAAGGTTAGGATCTATCTCATTTCCTGAGAAGCCACACATCACATGTTTCGAGCTAGAGGCAACACAAAGAATAAATGAGATCCATCGAATCGTAGATTTCCAAGGAATAGAATCTCATGAAAGCATACCCTGAAAACACTTTTAGAGAAAGGCTATTCGAAACAATTTAAGAGATTACATAAATTAATACTAGGTGTTCATAATATAAACTCAGGCTATTTCAAAACAAAATCCTGTGTTTAAAAAATGAGGAATAGAATATAGGCTATCAGGTAGCACTGTTCCATAACAGATATCAATTGGTGTGCTGAACTAATAACATGGGCATACCGTTTCAACGGCATTCTCAAAGAGTTCTCTGGCTCGTTCCAACTTTGTCTTTCCATACCTCTTAACAAACTTGGATAAATATGTAACCCATATCTCTTTCACATGAGGATATTTAAAGATCTTCACACCTCTTTCATACACCCTAAAAGCATCTTCAAAATATTTATGCTCCTACAGCCACCAAAAAAAAAAACGTAAAAAATCAGAACACAAAAACAGCAACAATAATAATAACAACATGGTGTCTTCACATTATTTACAGAATGCCATACCTCTAGAAGCATTGCATAGTTTATAATAATTTGGGGAGTAGCAATTCTTATATCCAATATGCTCTCATACACAGCACGGGTGGACTCCAAAGTACCAAGGCTTTCCTCCAAATCTACATAGAATGTCCACAATTTTAATGATTTGTGCAGCTTCATCTGCACAGGTTCATAACCATCCGCAGCAACTGAATAAGAGAACAAAAAGTTAGCTCATAGTCCCCTTGGACAAGAAGAAAACAAACATCAGAATACTACACCTAATTAAGTGTCTGGTGAGTCTACAAAAAAAAGCAATTCAGCGTACTCTCCATGAACATAGCCCAACCACCCACCCTCTTCCCCACCTCCCACCCCAACAAGAGTGGGAGAGAGAGAAATCAAACTATAATTTATTCATACCAAGTGTAACACCACTCTGATGCCCAAAGATATAGCAAAAATCACAAATGCAAATATATTCAGCCAAATTTCAATTACAGCCTTTCTAAACCGAATACATTTCTATCTGGTTAAGACTTCAGGGCAGCATAGGGTAGTTAGCATCTTAGTGATAATTTCACTGATACAATACATCAGAATGTCATACATTCCTTTTATGACAAGAAAATTTGCAAAAGTCAAGATACATGTACCATGGTAAGAAATTCAAGCTTCATAGAGGTAGCAGGAATCTCAAAAGAAAATACTACGTAACTAAATTAGAATGGAAACCTGCTACAAGTTGCAATGGCAAGACAGGCAAAATAAAGTACCAAATATAGGGAATAAAAATTACTACCTCGACGCTTTACTTCGACAGAGGGCACTGCTGTTGCACGCCGCATCAGGTCCAGTGCTCCTTTAAAGTTTTTGTGCCTTAACTCCATCTCAGCCCATTCACACCAAATACTAGCAAGATGATCCACTGCTTTATAATTCACTTGTACTGCTTTGTCAAATATAACCCTAGCATTAGCAAGATCTTTGTGACTTTCATACAGCTTAGCAAAAGCTACCCACAAAGTGTGAGGCTTTCCTACTGCCTTCATAGGATCCACAGTCCTGACCGCCTCAGTGTAGGTCAATATCTGCCTAGTTGGATTGCCCTCAAAGAGCTTGACTCTCCGATGCCATTGCTCCACATTATGTGGGTTTTGACGTAAAAGAACACTATTAGCTAGCTCAGGACGTCTATCCATCAAATGCTCCAACCTAGCGAGCCGCAAATCCACATCATTATCATCGTGCAGCCAAAAACCCTTTAAGATCTTCTTCTCAAACTTTCCCATAGAGAGGTCAACATCCCCCCTAATGTCAACCTCCTCCTCTTCCTCATCCCCACCACCATCCTCTCCTTCTTCATCACTCAAATCCAAACTCTCCATCTTATACGCCAGCATACTCTCCTCAAACTGTGAATACGCATCAAAAATCACACTAAAATCCCTGACAGTGACCACCGTCATCATACCCTCCTCAAACACATCCCTAGCCTTCTCCGGCAACTTCCTCCTGATATAATAATCCGCCAACGAAGTCCACAACCGCCCCACCTCATCCGTAAACTTCCTAATCCCACCCCTAATTATCGCATCCACATTCAACCCAGAAACCTCAGTAGCATGCTTAGTCAACAAATCACACAACTCAAGCCAAAGCCTATGCTTCGTCTTCCCCTTAATCGAAAAGAACTGATCATCATTCAAAACCCCAGCCAACCTCTCAGACGCCTCCTGCCACCGCTCCGAATTCACCAAAAACTCAATAAAATCCTCAATGTGAGATGGGTCATACTTCAAATACCTCCTATAAACCCTAAGCGAAGTCTCGATCGGAATCCCCTTCTGACTCACAAAAATCAAATAGGGTTCCCAAATTCGATCATGCTGAGTAACAGGCAAAGCACAAAGAGCCCGATCGAAAGTACGACGAGTACGAGTAACCAATTTCTGAACAATTAGGGTTTGCAAATACATAATCCAAATTCTGGGCATCTTATGCATAGTAACCAAAGCACGTTCAAAAGTATTATCTAGGGTTTCATACTGAGAATGTGTAATAGGAAGATTACGAACAAGTTCAAGGCGTTCACGAAGATAAGCATACCAGAGTTTGTAGCTTCCAGGTAAAGCTTTGAGAGCTCGTTCGTAGATGATTGCGCGTTTCTTGAATGGAGAAGAGGTTCTTGCGACGAGGTAGCGCCACCATAGACGGAGGCTGAAGGGGTTGCGCAGGATTTCTTCTTCGTATGGAAGGTCGTCTTCTGAAGGGTACAATTCTCGAGCTATAGCCATGGCAGAGCACTGCTTTACTCGCCGAGAATACGAGAAAAAGAGAAGGTGGAAACAAAGAGATGGGTGAGACTGTGAGAGTAGCCGCTAGTTGGGGGTCGAACGCCGCGTATCTTATAAAATGAAAGGGGTTTTAAAATATCCCTCTCAATTTTGGTAAATTGAAAAGAAAAATACTAGTTTTCACTTTTTCCTGCTAAAAATCCAATTTTTATTTTATTCCTCAAAAATCCAACATTTATATCCCTCTAAATTTAAAGGTACATTGCCTGTTGATGACCAATTTCTTTAAGTTAGATGACACATGTCAGCTATTAATAGGTCAATTCTTTTTTTATTATTATTAAAAAACAAAAATAATTTTTAAAAAAAAATAAAAAGATAAAAATAAAAAAATAAAAAAAAAAAAGATTTTTCGGTCACCATCCTCACCACCTCCATTAAATCCGGCCACCATTCCTCACCTCCCTCATTAAATCGGCCACCATTCCTCACCACCTCCCTTTGCGACCATCCTCCCTTTCCAGCCATCCTGGTTTTCCAGCCACAACCAGCTACAGTTCTTTCCTCAACCCAAACAAACCACACCACCATTACCACCACCCTAAACCTTTAGCCGTAGCACCGACCCATCTCCACCTCAAATTGAACAAACTAAGTAGGAGAACGATGAACACCAGGAGACATCGGCGAAACCCTTGAACCCGAAATCGGCGGAAGTGGCGGCGGCAGAGCTAGGGAGTTGCGATAACCGAAATCAATGCTGATGATCAACATCAACATCATGAATACTATGATGATTATGATTATGATGATGGTAATGATTAGGAGGGATTACCCGAGTGGGAGATCGAAACCCATCTCGAGGGTCGTCTTCTAGAATACGACATGATGAAGATGAGGTTGTTGGTGAGGTGGGGAGTTGATGACGAAATTGAAGGGGGTTCAATGGAGGAATGGTGAGAAGGTGGTGGGGGTGGGGGTGGGGGTGGAGGAGGATGATGAAGGAGGCGAGGAGAGAAAGGGTGGTGATAATGGTGGTGAGGTGGAGGAGGAGGAAGGAAGAGATGACGGTGTACTGGTGATACGGTTTTCAGGTGGTGTTGGTGGCGTATTGGTTGTACTGGTGGTATTGGTGGGTAATTGCAAGAAGTTTCCATTTTTTAGGAGAAAGGAGAGAGAAAGAGGAGGAGTGAGAAGAAATTGAGAAGGAGGGGTATAAAGGTTGGATTTGTAGGAGGAAAAAGTACATAGGTTGGATTTTTCTTTTCCATTAAAAAAATAAAAAAAAAAAAAAACTTCCATCCAAAGAAAAAGAATCTATCTATCTATTCTATAAATAAACTAAAGTAGCAACCGCTAACGTCATTTTTCCCCAAACATGTACACGTGTCGACTTATTATGAAAAAATTTCCCGCCCAATTGTATGGGAAGATTTCCCTAAAAATTGTTGAATTGTAAAGTAATTCCCTATTTACGTTGGTTTAAAAAACTTATTCCCATAATATTGTCCACGTAAGTTTGGTAGATTATTATTTTTTTTTGCAAAGAACCGCTAACGGTGATAGCGGTTCTATAATTATAAAGTCGTTAATGTCGTTAACGGTTCTTGTATTAGGTTCTTGTATAAGAAAACATCACAAGTTAAAACTTAATATAAGAACCGCTAACGACGTTAGCGGTTTTATAACAAGTACAGAACCTCTATCACCGTTAGCGGTTCTTTGTTAAAAAAAAAAAATCAAACCTTTTTCCAATCCTACGTGGACAATATTGTGGGAATAAGTTTTTAAACCGACGTAAATAGGGAATTAATTTACAATTCAACAATTTTTATGGAAATTGTTCCAATTGTATGACTTATTTTAGAAAGAAAATAATAAAAAAAAATTATCATTTAAATTTACAGCAGTAAATTATTATTTCCTAAAATAATGGGATTTGAATAAGTATAGTTGTTATTTTCCTAAAAGGTAGAGATATTAACGGATAGTTGTTGATTAATCATATTGCTGGGGTTGCTTCCTAATACAAGAATTTTGAATTTTTTTTTTTTTCAAATCAGAATATTTTCTTAATACAAAAATTTTGTTTGTGTGTGTGTGTTTTTTTTTTAGAATTTAGAAATCATCCACCTTAATATTTTGACATACTATTGAACATGTTGTTGATAATACTTCTTTTTTTCTTTCAAAGATTGATAAATTGAACTTTGTAGTATCTCTGTATTTGATAATTTGGGTGTAGTTTCATTTAATTCTAAATTGGCCACTACAGGTTATATTGAAAGAGTTGATTGTATTATTAGTAATATATCACTTAACAACATAGGCTTATGATTTTATCTATGGCAAAAATGTGGAAATGTTAGAGTAAAATTAACATTAATTATCCGATTGATGTGTGATTTTGTCATGCATTACAAACTTAATACAGAGTACTATTTTAAGTAATATGTTAATTAGTTATCTAACGCCGCCTCACTTGAGAAGATTATTTATATAGTATATGCGAGTTCAACATTAAGGAGTACAATTTTATTTGTTAAAACCGTGCATCGCACGGGGCTAATCTAGTTAAGCCTAACAAATATTCACAGACACGAATTTTCATGTGTCGTTTAGCTTGTTTAATTAATTAGAGGTGTCAATCCGGATTTTTGGGTCAAATTCAGTGAAGTCGGGTTGGCAAGGTTTTTTTAGAATTTGAGTCATGTTAAATTAGTATTTTTTTTTTAAGAACCGCCGTGGGAAAAATATATTAAATCAAGGTCTGGCAAAGCTTGTAGACTTTGGGGAAATGTTAAATTAGTGTATTTAAATCAGGCTTTTGTTTAATTTACATTAAAAATATATATATATATTTCATAAAAATAATTTTAGTTCATTAAACACAATTTCATTTCAGTAAATTTTATTTCAGTTCGTAAAAATAAATTCAATTCAGTAAAAATAAAGTTTATTCAATAATAGTAATTTATACGAAGTATTTAGTAAAAATCAATAGTTTTATAGATTCGGTAAAAAAATAAAAATAATTTCAGTCAGTCTAAAAAGTATTATCAGTTCAGTTAAAATTAAAGTTCAGTAAAAATAATTTCAATGTAGCCAAAATAAGATGAAGTTAACCGGGCCTAAGTATATATTTGAATTTAATTTTTTTCGGTTGGTATAGGTTGGTTCAATCTATAGGTTTTTTTTACGGGTATCCGTAGGTATTTCTTGTTTTAGTAATTTGATAATTATTACCTATTTAAAGGGTCTGTTTGGAATTATTATGGTTTTTTTTTTCTTCTTTTGTTGTCTTTTATTTATCAAATTCAAATAATAGATATCATATAATGAATAAAAAATTGGTCAAACTTATTAAAATCATAATAATTTTAAAAACTAGTATAACAGACAAGTATAAACATTTTTTTTCTTGTTTTTGGTTTTTTGTTTTTTTTTTTTTGTAAAATGAAAATAAAAACGATCGCAAATAAGCCAACAACCTAATATTGATACTACATTTTATATGGGATCAACCCTAAATTACCCGGAGTATAAGTTAGGTTTATTATTTTTGTTAGGTACGTGATCGACTATCAAAAGTCCAAATAAGGGATTTGTTAAACATCGCCCACAAATTACTACATAAAGCCCACAAAATTCACTTGGTTTGACAATATTGCCCTTGACCTAAAAAAAAACACTCACACTCTCATCGCTCATCTTCTTTCAACCTCTCTAAAAAAAAATTTCAAACAACGGCAATGTCGAGGCGGCAAGGCAAGGAATTGGCGGCGGCGGAGGAGGGAAGGAGGTCCCAAGGAGGCAAGGTACAATTTGTAAAAAAAAAAAAAAAAAAAAAAAAAAAAAAGGAAAAACCGCCGTGACGGAGGTGGGGCGCCCTGGCTGGACGCCCAGCCAGCGGTGGTGGCGCCAGCTGCAGACGCCGCCACCAGTAGGCTGGCGCCTGGTCTGGACGCCATAGCCACGGTTGTGGCGTTTATTCAAGGCGCCGCAGCCGTGGCTGTGGCGTCCAGCCCAGGCGCCAGCCCACTGGCGGCGGCGTCTGCAGCTGGCGCCACCACCGCTGGCTGGGCGTCCAGCCAAGGCGCCCCCCCCCCCCTTTTTTTTCTTTTTTTTTTATATTTGTTTTAAAATATTGTTTTTATTTTTTTTTTATTTTTTTTTGGTGTAATATCTTTTTGAATTGTTTTTATATTTTGTTGTTTATTTTTATAAATTTTTTCAATTTTGTTGTATTTTTTCTATGTTTATATTTTGTTTACAATTATTTGTTTGTTTTTTTTGTACATTTTTATTTTTATTCTCTATTTTGATTTGTTTTTATATTTTTTTTGTGACTTTGATATTGTTTTTGGTTAGTTAATTTATTTTAAATTTTATTATTGATATTGTTTTTGGTAAGTTAATTTATTTTAATTGGGAATGAATTATTTATGTTTATATATATTCTTCTGTGTTGGTTTTATTTCCTTTCTAAGTGTATTTTTTATTCTATTATTTTTATTTAAGTGTTTTGTTAATTTCTTTATTATGTTAATTTGTTAGTATGTTTTTAGTTTATTTGATTTGGGTAGTGGTAGCTATTTTTCGTATAAATTTTTGTATGTTTATATATTTTAAAATTTTGTGTAGAATTCACTGGGTCGTCATGGTGCGGGGAAGAATGTAGAGCTTCTTAGTAGAAGCTATTCAGTGGAGAGGTCAGGGCATAGACATGTCAGATCCCGTGGTATTTCGGCCTCAGCTCGTAGAGAACGGATCCACCGTCGGGGTGAGGATGACGATGACGATGATGATGCTGAGGAGGGTGACCAGGAGGAGGAGCAGGAGGAGAGCGCAGATGAGGATGAGGATGTGGACGATGGCAGTGGATTGTATGATGATTACGGTCCATTCAGTCAGAGGGTTGATGACATGTACGAGACACATATGGTGGAGGTGCGTAAGGGTAGGGGTGGTAGGTTTGTTAGTAGATCTGGCACATCATCTGCGTCCACTGTATCTGGGGCAAGCAGGAAACGGTCAAGGGCCGGTAATGATTCTTGGGTTGTTAGGAGTGAGGTGCCCGGTGGGCCTGTTAACGGGAGTGTGATTCCTAGCTTTCTAGGACACATAGCTGCCCGTATTTGGGAGGACCAGGAGAGGCCTTCAGTTACGGGGTTGTTGAAATGTCATACCCGGGAAAAGACTTGTAGCTTTTTGCGTACATGGGCTGAGGCTTGGCCGGCGGAGAGCGAGATGTTCGAGCGACTGGAGGGCACTGGGGTGAATCACGTTCCTGCCACCATGCACGATAAGATTGACAGTCTGCTGATCACGGCTTTCATTGAGCGATGGCAGCCGGATACAAACTCTTTCCACCTTCCGTTTGGTGAGATGACGATCATGTTACATGACGTCGAGGCCATTCTGGGGATTCGTGTTGAGGGTAAACGACTTTGTGCTGTGGCTGATGCGGATCAGGCAGATTTGCTGGCGGAGTTGTTGGCGGTGGACAGGGCTGCACTGTACACCGAGGCGCTAGGTGTTTGGGAACACGGAGGTGTGAAGATCGCATCCGTGTTGCAGCGGTGTTTGTACCCCAGTGCACGTAGGACGCACGACGCACAGCTGAGTGCTTATGTTTTTCTACTCCTCGGATGTACCTTGTTTCCGGATAAGAGCGGCGGAAACAAGCTCAGGCCACGCGACATAGTAGAGGCGTGTGACCCCGACAGTGTAGGCCAGTTTTCCTGGGGATCGGCTACGTTGGCGTATTTGTATCGCCAACTAGGATTTGCGAGTCGGGCTGACGCGGCAGGTATCACTGGGTGTCTGACTCTATTGCAGACCTGGATATACGAGTACTTTCCTGCATTGCGACCACATCGTGACCCGGTTCCTATTGATGAGGGGATGTCGCGTGCTTCTGCGTGGAGTCCGCGCTCGGAGAAGAAGTCCGTTGACCGCCTCCGATCGATACGGTTATTGCTGGACAGGTTGTCCCCCTTAGAGGTAACGTTTATAAATTGTTTCTACATTTTATTATTTGCACATATTATATTCATGTTATTAAATTTTAAAACTATGTGCAGGTGAACTGGATGCCTTTCGGCCCGAACCCTAGTGTTAGGGTACCCAGGACCCTGTACACGGGACTCATTCAGTATCGTGAGATCGTCGAGGCGTACATGCCCCAGCGTTGTCTTCGCCAGCTTGGATTTGTCCAAGTTGTCCCTCCTCCCCCGGCATGCCCGATGAAGGCGATCCGACCTGCATCGTTGAGGGACTATGTCGTGCAATGGCCGGATATCATGACCGGGACGTGGGACCAGTTTCCGATGGTGGCCCGCTTATGGACTGCGGAGTTGCAGCGGCCGCCCTCTGGGGTTCCTCCCATGTGTGACCATTACTACATGGAATGGTTCAACCGGT